CACGCTCGAGCGTCCAACACTGCACAGGAAATACTGGATGGGTGCAATTCCCGCTCGAGCGCCAAAACCCCCGCTCGAGCGGACAGGTCAAAATCTGGGCAACTAGTTTTGGTTTCTAAACTCAACCAACCTGTACAAACCTGCCCCCACACATCCTATAACTCAAATATGAAGTAAAAAGGATGTAAACAAGATAATGATCAACTACCAACATCCACGGACACATGTCCGGATCACTGTACAACAAGGGTAAACCCGGGTTCGCTATACGATATGTAATCTATGATAACTTGTAAATTTTCTTTACCATGAATAAATTACTTGTTGTTTAGTTTGGATTCGTAATTATATTGGCCATACTTTGCTACAACTGAGAACATAATGCACTTAATAAAGGGGAAATCAAATGGGATGGTAATGGGTTGTGATCATAATGAACGATGGATTCAAGAGTATGATATAATGGAATGTATTCCATTTTTGTGAAGTCTTGTGCAAGTGTGTTTCCAAACCCTAACATGGCACGGGAGATATTCTGGCTACTTAACGAAAATGGGAGGCATAAGGGTGGCAGTGAGGGTCTCACACAGGGAGGGTATCCCTGGAAGCCCGTTTCCTTGGGGCAGACCATGATGTCACCACTTGGGTATGTAACCTAGGTGCGTGGGCATCATTGATAATTGTGCGGTAAGCGACGCACTGGTATTGTATTAACCAAGGGGGAGTCAGAATTGCCCGTAGCCAGAGTTAGTGGTTGGGTAGGAACGGCATTCCACGGGGAGTTGCCTATCAGAATTGCCCGTGGCCAGAGTTAGTGGTTGGGTAGGAACGGCATTCTGCGGGGAGTTGCCTAGAACTAATTAAAATTGACCATTATTCATGAGAACTAAAATTTAATTATAATCTCTGCTTGATTATTGCTTTCGCTGTATGTTATGACTGTGCCGTTATGTTACTTGTGTATTTGGAATGGGAAAAGGGTTGGGGTGTGTATGTTTATTGGGCATTCCAAGCTCATGGCGTTTTATGCCAAGTGAAGGCAAGTTTTACACCAAGAACAGAATCCCTAAAAGCTTTGTGGAACCGTGGCTGCCTTAGGAATTAGGTTGTATATTTCCTGTATTTTGGATAATCTTTTGTATCAAGGAACCGATATGTATTTAAAGACTTGAAGAATTTTATCTGTAACTATTATTAATATTTTATTTTAGTGTAATTATTTGCATTTTGTACTAAAAAATGATGTGTACCCTCTAGTTAAACCCCGGTGCATCGTTGTATTATATTATCAAAATTTGGGGCGTCACAACTTGGTATCAGAGCTTAGGTTCAACCCTTACCCACGCGTTCCGACTTGCAATTAGAAACAACCTTGCTACCGACTATATTACATTATGATAACACTACTTAGTCTAGAAACTAGAAGATGTCAAAAAATTAAAATTTTCTCAACCAACCCTAGTACGTTTTTTCGAATTTCGGGCATGGCAATGTCGATTCGTGAAAGCATGTAGCCGGGCGTCGACGATTCTACTATTGGTACCAGGTGCTGAAGAAAGCTTTTTAGACAAGGGTAGTGGAACTAGAATTTCATAATAAAGAAAGGAAAGGTTAGATTCAATCAGCGAACCGAAACATGAAGTTGCCTAGAGCGATCGAGAGTGGCGATGGAGTCAATGGTTGAGTAATATTACCTTAGCTGCTTATTAGGTGTTACTTGGATTATATGTCGAGTAGAGCATTTTACTTTAGTACTTTTCCTTGACTAATTGCGTTAACAAAACCCTAACCTGCACTTAACTGCGCGTTTGGCAGATGGTGAACCATACAAGAGCAAACAAATACGTAGGCAACAACAACGCTACCAACCACAACGGTGACGCCAATATAAACAGGAATGCGACACCTAGGGTCAACAATCACGATTACGCGCCTACATCCGCTGCCAACTTACCCGAGAATGTCGGAAACCAAATTTTGGAAGAATTAGGAAGGCTGAGGAGAACGCGTCAGAATGAGAGGACACATCTATTCTCCGAGTTTCGCAAATAGAGACCGCCGACCTTCATTGGCGAACCTAATCCAAAAATTGCTGAAAACTAGATCCGACAAATTGAAAAGATGTTCAATACAATGGGAATAACTGAACACATTGATAGGATTGATCTAGCAGTTTACCAACTTGAAGGGGAAGCAGATCATTGGTGGGCTCTGATTCGGGAATCTAGGGACATCACCGCAATAACGTGGACGCAGTTTAAGGAGTTATTTTTGAGGAAGTACTTTCCAAACATAGTCAAACAAGAAAGAATTCGTGAATTTCTAAACCTAGAACAAGGCACGATGATAGTGACCCAATACGTGGCAAAGTTCAAGGAGTTAGCGCATTATGCGACTCGATATGTAGAAAACGATGAAGAGAAAGCACAAAAATTTGAATGGGGTCTAGACCCTACAATTCGAGGAAGAGTTTTGCCCATGCGACTTCCCACTTTTGCAGATGTGGTTGACACAGCACTCGATTCAAAATGGGAGGTGGTAGATTTCAAGAGGATTTGGAGTTTGAGGAAAGAAAACAATCAATCCATTGTGGGACTAGAAAGGAATAGTCAAAGGTATGCAGCACTGAAGCCGTATTCTATGGAACCCCAACAACCCCTCCAATCGCACTCGACCAATCGCAGCAGCAAAATCTAAAGGAGAGTTTTCAGACAAGACCAGCTGGGTTGATCCAATACTATCATTGTCAACAAATGGGACACAATAGGTTTGAATGCCCCCAACTGGCCAGAAATTGAGGAGGGCGCTCGGGAACAAATACGCAGGTTATTGGCGGGCAGCAACCATGGGTAACTAAGTCGGGAGCTACTAGGCAACAAAATTACAAGGCGGAGAGCAATCAGAAATCTGAATCGGTTAACAATCAAAGGCCAACAGGCAGAATATTTGCACTGCAAGGAGAAGAAAATGAACATCTCACTAAGCAGTATCTTGAGGAAGAGTAGTACACCACATATGAACCCAAGGAACCACAGTACGAGCCATGGCTAACTTAGGAAAAATATAACTAGGATATTAGTTATAACTCTTTTGGATGACCTTTTGTAAAGTATATATATAGACGATGTAAATTTCCTTTTGTTAATATAGTTTTAGAACTCTTAAGTACATGCTTTATTCATCATATTCTTTCGTATCTACTATGTGGATGCAAACCTTTAAGAATTGTTTATGCGTTTGATTTTCAATCTCTAAGGCATGAATAGGTCCAAATATAAAATCATCTTGGACACAGATTGACTGTTTGTACACCAATCGTGATTGATGGCAACTAGAAGAGTGAGATGAGTTACATATTCATTGGGACGCTTTATTATTTAAGGGGGATAGACCAACTTCCCTGATTATCATAAATCAACGAACGCAATGACACCAAAAATCGAGAGAACGATCATCAGGATACATTCATAGTGAGTACGTGGACTACCACATCAGAAATTGGCAATAGGGGTTTTCACTATGAAGGAACGACATCATTACCTATACAACGGGTAGTTTAAATTTTTTACGATTAAAATACGTTGTCAGAACCTACTTGGAAGCACAATGATGCAATGCAGGTAAATTAACCGCAACTTTTCAACTACTTAAAATTTCGAGGACGAAATTTGTTTAAGGGGGATAGGTTGTAGAGACCCTAATTTTTGTAATTACCATTAAATCCCTAACCTTGAGTTTATTTCAATAAAGCTCATGAATTTTCGCTTAATTGCATTTTAAACCCTAGAATCGGGAAGCATCGCGGATTAATTCGAGTAAACCCTAATCAATCCCGTAGATTAATAATCACCTTTAAAACCATATTATTAGTTATTAGACCCTATCATTATATATTAATCACTCTAAAATTTTAATTCCCGGTAATGCCGTTTTTGCTCGGTTTCTCGCATTTGTTTGCACTTTAATTTAACGGGACCCGAATTTATTATTTTAACTATTTTCTAATGTTAGTATATTAATAACTTACATCAATGTTTCATAAATTTAGACTTGGTCCCTATATACTTTTATTTTATTCCAACCCTTAATTGTAATAATTTATTAATTAATGTACTTGTGACTATTATATTATGTTTATAAATAAAAATATCATATATATATATAGGTCTTGGAGCCCAAGTTGTTGACCATGTGATGGATGAAAGGGCCATAATGGTAACTTTGACAATTTGCACTTAGGGAACTTAGTCCCCAAGAAACCTTCCCAATCTTTTCTCTATATTTATATGCACACTTCTCCCCCTTATGATATACATTTTTAGCCATTCACTAGAGGAGTGAGAGCGAGTGATCTTGGAAAAAAAAAAAAAGAGGGAGAGAGTGAGAGAGAAGAGAAGAAGAAAATGAAGAATTGTGTTGAGTCTTGTACAACAAAGGTAAACATACAACACCTCTTCTCTCAAGTTCTCTTACCATTTGTTTTTCCCCTCCTAATACATGCTCTTTGTATATATATGTTGTAATCTAGGCCTATACTCTTGTATAAGTGTGTATTAATCAAGAAATGGCATGCTTCACTTTCTTTCTTAAATTTCCAGCAGCAAATCATTTCCCTCTCTTGAATTTATTTTCCTATCAAAACTCCATAAACTCGAAATCTGTTTTTATGGTGCAATATTTGGTATGTCTAGAGTATGTGATAATTTTGGTAGGGCCTAAAGATGTATCTTTAACACCTAAACAATTTTTATAAGTTTGTTACTCACAGAACCAGAAAAATAGTCCACTTTCTCTATTTTTATAAAATTCCAGAAAAATAATCTTGAGCCCAATTTTATGTCAAAATCTTAATCTTGGTGTTATATTTTAACTAAAATTTGTTTGAACTCAAGAGAGTGAGGGGTTTGAGAGAAAAACCGATTTGCGTAACGATCAATGAATCTCGACAGATCTTGGTAATTCGGAATTATCTTAAAATATAAAATACCTATCCTACTTTCGTAAATTGAGTTTGAAACTAGACTTATTTATCTAAAAACTCACATGAGGCCAGGTCTTTAGGCCCAATAAAACTATTTTTTGCATAGCTATTTTCGAACTGGTTCAAATCTGGAAATCTGAAAATTTGTGTTAATATGTTCTTATTTGGTTTGCGACTCTTATATTCTATGTTTCTTGAATGTTTTAGTCTCGATATGTAATCTATGATAACTTGTAAATTTTCTTTACCATGAATAAATTACTTGTTGTTTAGTTTGGATTCGTAATTATATTGACCATACTTTGCTACAACTGAGAACATAATGCACTTAATAAAGGGGAAATCAAATGGGATGGTAATGGGTTGCGATCATAATGAACGATGGATTCAAGAGTATGATATAATGGAATGTATTCCATTTTTGTGAAGTCTTGCGCAAGTGTGTTTCCGAACCCTAACATAGCACGAGAGATATTCTGGCTGCTTAACGGAAATGGGAGGCATAAGGGTGGCAGTGAGGGTCTCACACAGGGAGGGTATCCCTGGAAGCCCATTTCCTTGGGGCAGACCATGATGTCACCACTTGGGTATGTAACCTAGGTGCGTGGGTATCATTGGTAATTGTGCGGTAAGCGACGCACTGGTGGTTATGCGGTAAGCGGTGCATTGGTATTGTATTAACCAAGGGGGAGTCAGAATTGCCCGTAGCCAGAGTTAGTGGTTGGGTAGGAACGGTATTCCACGGGGAGTTGCCTAGAACTAACTAAAATTGACTACTATTCATGAGAACTAAAATTTAATTATAAGCTCTACTTAATTATTGCTTTCATTGTATGTTATGATCATGCCGTTATGTTCTTGTGTATTTGGAATGGGAAAAGGGTTGGGGTGTGTATGTTTATTGGGCATTCCAAGCTCATGGCGTTTTATGCCTGGTGAAGGCGAGTTTTACACCAAGAACAGAATCCCTAAAAGCTTTGTGGAACCGTGGCTGCCTTAGGAATTAGGTTGTATATTTCCTGTATTTTGGATAATCTTTTGTATCAAGGAACCGATATGTATTTAAAGACTTGAAGAATTTTATCTGTAACTATTATTAATATTTTATTTTAGTGTAATTATTTGTATTTTGTGCCAAAAAATGATGTGTACCCTCTAGTTAAACCCCGGTGCATCGTTGTATTATATTATCAAAATTTGGGGCGTCACATTTGATCACCATGTCATCTATGTAGGCCTCCATTGTTCTGCCTAACAATGGTTCAAACATTTTGGTGATTATCCGCTGGAATGTAGCCTGTCACGACCCAAACCCGCCCCTATAGGTTTAGCATCGTAACCAGCCAGTAATCCTTGGATTACCAAAGGCCTCTGAATAGATTAACAAGATTAAGGGGCTAGCGGAAGCAAATACATAAATATAGTCGTCCAAAGAGCTGTGCTGACTTATATGAAACAGAATATTTAAGACTTTATATACATAACCGTTAGTCAACCATACATTATACCCACATACATTACAGTATCTTAAGTACAGCCAACAAAGCTACCAAGTCATACATGTACAGAAATAACAGAAATTAAACACAGGACTCTATAGGAACCTCCACGTGAGGCACAATGGTTGGCTAACAACATAACACAGATCCAGACAAAAGCCTCCAGGCTTGATCTCCAGAATGCTCACCCATACATATATATATATATACAAACAGTGAGCTAAAGTCCAGTGAATAACATTAAGGTAAAGGGGTTAGTGAACGAAATCCAAACATATCATAAACGAAAAACAGATCATAGCATAATCATCCCCATATCAGAACATAATAATGGTACATCCCATAGAACACATCACAGAACGTTTTTCTACTAGAGTAGTCGGTTCCGGATATCGATTAGACACATATCACCACAATGAAGTGGCTAACGAGATCTCATAAACTTGTATGTCATGGACCCGCATTTTCATGTCGTCCCCCATGACTTGGGACTATCTATGGATGCCATAATAGATTGCAAACTTGGGATGTTCGTTCATGTAAACAGATATCATTTCAAAAATCATAGCTTATCACATTTCATTTGGAACATAATTCATATGAACGTATCTTTACGATAACGTTACTCACAGTGGTTCTTGCCAATGGTCAATCAGTCCTCGAGACGTTGGCCTACAGACACAAAAGCACATACCACCAACATATCACATTATTACACATTCACATGGCCAACACAGTTTAACTTTCTTATTACATAGGTTTCTTGCTTAACACATTGTTTCAAACACACATTGGTAATCTCTTAACTTAGTACATTCTTTCCTTAGTGTGTTTCTAATCCATAACCCCATTACTATGGCTTAATTAAGGCTTAGGAATGCCTAAGATGTAATGAGGATGCAAAGATGCACTTTAAGACACTTTTCAAAATTTTCAGAAAACAGGGGTCTCGCTCGAGCGTAGGTTACCTCGCTCGAGCGAGCTTGTCAAAACAGTGGGGTCGCTCGAGTGTGGACGTCCTCGCTCAAGCGGTCTATAAAAATACAAAAGTGCTGGATGTTGAAAATCTCCGCTCGATGCTCGCTCGACGCTAGCTCGAGCGTAAGACACACTCCTCGCTCTAGCATAGGTTCTCTTGCTCGAGCGTGTGTTTGCGTGCACCAAAACCTGAGAGCTTGCAATTCACGCTCGAGCCAACATTCCGTTGCTCGAGCGGA